ACACCAAACCTCAGATCTGAGGAGAAATCTTTTGTCGTTTATATGGTTCACCTTCGTTGAAGCCAGAATAAAATGCTACTTCCACTTCTTGACCTTATTTTTAAAGTCAATCAACCGGATCTTTCTGTTCGAAGTAGAATTCACGTAGTCATCTAGGTCGACCCTAAAATTGAACATGTTAGAAAAATGTTCTTGTGACCAAGGGATCTCCATCCTGCAACAAAACAACAAAGGTCTTGAAAACCCCTATGTAATTCACCTTCAGTTGGATCGGGACAACAGTGTAATGATTCAAATAGCTTGGAGCATGCAATACAGAGGAAGGCAATGTCCCTAACTGAATTGGTCATGACAGCATGAGCCATCCTCCATACTCATCAGTCACTCAATCATTCAAGCCAAGGGCCGCTAGCACAATGTCGGCATCATATACGTACCTGCTCTGGAGCCTTGAAGCCTCATTAGAAGACAAAATGCAGTGCTCTGACACTTGCACTGTCCTGAATGCCTAGGGCAAATATTTGGAAGACAAGTGGTTTCTAAGCAAAAGATCAAAGGGAGAAGAAACGACTAAATGGTAAGGTGAGGGAAAAATGAAGTCATAAAAGGGCATCAGACCTATATGTAGGACACGAAGAGAAGTTGAAATGCCACTAATTGTACCTTAAAAATGTAAACTCTGCTAGAAAAAAATTAAAATATTTGCAAAAATAAGAAAACTATAATATAGGAAACAGAAGCATTTATTTATCCAGACATGATAAACTTTAAAATTGGCATGTCAGCCACTTGAGGCAAAGCCAACCCTTACCTCAACAACATTTTATACAAAACTAGACCCCCTTACCTAAAACTATCAACAGAAGTAGCCTAAGTTTCAAAACGAGAGACTGAGCATTCTTCTGTCATGTTAGCTAAGTTCATCTGCAGGTTCACAATCTCCATTCAGATGGTCACAGTATCGGTCTGATGGTCTGCCACGTCCACTCAAAGATCAAGAAGTTCAGCTACATTTTATACAAAACTAGACCCCCTTACTTAAAATTATCAACAGAACTAGCCTAAGTTTCAAAACGAGAGACTGAGCATGCTTCTGTTATGTTAGCTAAGTTCATCTGCAGGTTCACAATCTCCATTCAGATGATCACAGTATCGGTCTGATGGTCTGCCACGTCCACTCAAAGATCAAGAAGTTCAGCTGATAGCTTCTCTATGAGCGCATCCAGTTGTACCTTCAGTTCGCTTTTGTTGTCCTCTCACTTAGCCCCAGCTTCCTTTGGAGCCTCAGCTTCAAAAGCAAAGAAATCCTTTGTCTCGTCCATACAACAAACCAGAGAGTCAATCGACTCCCTTTAGACAATCTTTGGCGGGTTCTCCATAGTCTTTTAGGGATTGAGACTCGACCTTCCACAGCCTCTGGCAAGTTCGAAATGGACTTGGTCATGTTCTTAATAAAAAGAGACCAAGTTAAGGCAAAGAAGCCAATGGGTGGGTCAAACGACCGAACTCATTATACTAAGGAGTAGATCTAGCTCAGACTTGAGCAAAGTCAAGAAACCCTCACTAGGCATAGGTGGAGTGCTCTTAGCTCTCATCCCTTCAATATGAGAAGAACCTGCCACATCATTATTCCCTGGCAGCATACCTCAGGAAATTTTCGGGTTTCATTTCCTTTTTATCCATCAGGTTTGGTCGATTCTCCAATAGGGGAAATGGTCAAAACCTTTCCCTATATCCGAAGCAACTAGGGAATGTCATAAAAAATTCATTCCTATTATTTTCATCGCGCTAATAGAATTCCTCCTCTTGAAGACCAGTTGCTTCACTCGCCTTTTCTTGGCTGGCTTCGTGCCCTCGAGATGTTTTCCCCGGTCACTAACAACACCATCCTCTAGATGATGAATTTTTGGAATAATACTGAAGGGATGGATTTTTTTTCATCCTTTAGTCCAAAAACCTCCATTGGAAACACTATTTATAGGGAATGAACAATCTTTGTATAAGAATACAGTACACGAGTGAGGGTCTTCAATAACATACTATTTATAGGTTGACAGTACACAAGACATTCTGTGAGTTTGATTATTAAATTTTGTTTAGTAAACCAATGAATTTAATGTAGCATTTGATTTTCTTGTTTTTATTGTATATGTCACTTTCAAAATGCAAGACAATTGGCAAACCAAATATGTATGACAGAATTACGATAGCACGAATCTCAGATAAAATATAGATAGACAACAAATAAGACGAAGCCATAGTCAAATTATATAGAGATCTAGTGGAATACTAATTTTGTTATTGGAGTAATTGATGCTAAGTTAAGAGAAAATTATCTCAAAGCTCTGACAAGTCACTCTCTTCAGTAGGCAAGCTGACTGACATAGCAAGTCGAACGAAGGACAACTGTATATTAAGTCAAACGATGGAATCTGTACACTAAGCCGAATGAAGGACATCTCTACGCAAGGTCGAACGAAAGGCAACTCACCGCCAAAGGAACGAGAGTGACTGGTCGAAGATTGAGGCAATGTCGCGAATAAGCTTGATCGAGAGGTTTCCACTTCGTACTCAAGTGATTTAGTCTGTCATCACCAAACGAATGAACGTGTACGTATGGCCAAAAGTCATCATGACCAACCAGAAAATTTTTTATTAAAATATTTATATATTGTACAAATGACCATAGCCCGAAGCTTCTTTGTTTAGAAGGGGGCCTTAGATGTAAGTTATGTACATAGGGTATCTCCTATATCAATAAATATGAAATCATTTCATGAAAGAAAGCTCTAGATGCTCTCATTTTTAATGTTTACTTCTGCTTCCTCTCTTACTTACTCATCTTTATATGCTTTATTCAATGGAGTGATTCACTAAACACTTTATGATTCAACAAGCAAAATTTTTACAAAACACTTCCTCCTCTCTTGAGTCTCTGTGAATAATGTTCATTTGGCTATTAATTTGAAAGGTAGGAAATGAAAATTTTAGGAGGACCTTCCTTTTCAAATAAGAGCTATATAAACTCTAAGCTTTTAAATAATTTCTTCTCTCAAAGTTTTTTCTTCAACAAAGCTTCTCTCTGCATTGGATTCTTATAACAATAATTTTGAGGGAATGGATATTGCAGATCTCTCTGAGAAGAAAAAATATTACATCCGGAGTCAGGATGTAAGCTACGTTCAGACAACAAACGCGAGACACTTGGGGCGATTTTATTCTCTCTGCTCCGTCCAATGTATCGTGTATATTGTCAATCGTAGCTTTGTGTCCGGACTTCGGACGCAATATTTTTGCTCCGTGAGGGGTTATTTCATACTCTTGGTTGTTGATCTTGGCGCTGTCAGCAAATCCATTACTAAATTTTGCTTCTTACATGTATAAATTAATAATACATAAGCATAATGTTTCAAGAATAAACATGAGGACACCGAACACATTTATTATTAAAAATATAGGACATGAACACACATCAATAAAATAAATAAAATATTATAAATAATAAAAAATTAACAATATTATCATTCAAATACAAAAATAAAAAAAAAATAAAAAAATACTACATACCAGCTTGGGTGGAATATAGTAATATAATAAAAAAATACTCTTCTTTTCCGAATGAGCATTTTGTATTTTTTCTTTTTTTTTGCGTATATATAGTAACTGTTTTATTTTGGATTTGAATACAATTTGCTGTCGCCCTCAATTTTTCCAAAAAATAAAGTTGTGGCTGATATTCTATGATCAAAAGTGGGGGCCCAATCAAAAACTAGTAGACCGTGAAGGTGACTTATAATATATGTATTGCTCCACTTGCCATGCTGCTAACAGCCTTCCAAATAAGATATTAAAAAGTTTAAATCAATGTAAAATTTCAGAGGAATAACATTGAAATATTAAATTAAACTTTATAACTAAGTGGGATGAATTTTAAAATTATTAAATTTTTTCTGTTGTCTGAAAAATCTTTCCATGCTAGGTCTTATTTCTTAAATATAATGATTTGAAAAACAAAATGATGAATTCAAATTAGAAAAAAAAAAAAAAAAAAAAAACAATACTTTGAGATAAAATTGCCCGGCCCAAGGGATAATTAAAATAAAACATAAATATATTATTTTGTTATTTTATACTATTAAAAAAAGTCAAAAAAAGGAAAAATTCTTAAGAGAACTTTGTAATATGAGAAATTTTATTACAAATGTAATTACTATGATTTTTTAAAATTATTAATTATGTATTAATTGAATATAATTTTATGTAATTGTGTTGAATTCAAATTTGCAGGCTTCAAGAAATCGAGTGTTGGACCGATGTGAGGTGATCTAGAGAGGGAGCGAAATGAGAGAGATGAGAGAGAGGAGGATTTCCCTCGGGCGGGGGGAAATGGGGTGTTCTCAGAATCGTGGATCAATTTTATTCCATAAAATTAGAGGTTACAAATAAGGGATGCCCCTAAAAAGAACCATCATTTATATCATAAAATCCTCCTATTTATAGAAGAAATGCGGGGTAGAAAGAACTAAAGACTCCATCAATCACTAATGCTCTTTATGACAAACTATGTCAGAGAGGATTCAAACCCCCAATCAAAGGGGCACATGCCGTGGATGCCAACCAACATGGCAGGGTACACTGCAAAAAAAAATTACATATTCGGTCATGCTTTTGAAGGTATAAGCAAAGGGCATTTTTATCCTTTTTATTTTAGCCGTTGGATCGTCTCGAGATCGATGCAGACTTTCATGTTCATGTTTATCAATCGACTAAAGTGAGGTGGTGAAGGGAGAGAGCTTGGTTAGTCGACTGAAGTGAGGTGACCGAATGAGAGAGCTTGGTCGGCCGACTCAATGAGGTGACCAACTATTGGATTGCTTTGAGATCCGTGTGAACCATTTTTGAGTATAAAAGTGTTATTTTTTTTTTTAATTATGCAAATATATTCTGATGTGTATAAATACGAAAACAGCTCCAAAGTCTTCACTCTCTTAGCTCTTTCCCAAAACGAGTAGTAAAACATGGAATCACTAAACTTATGCCAAATTCTACCGCTGATCCTCTGCATCCTCCTCCTCTTCCTTATATTGAAGAAGCTTAAATCCCCCAAATTCTCCAGTACTATTAAGCTTCCCCCAGGACCAACGAAACTCCCCATTATAGGAAACATTTTCCAGCTTCTCGGTGACCATCCTCACCGAAGATTGCGTGACCTTGCCAATGAGTATGGCCCTCTGCTTCTCCTCAAACTCGGAGAAATAAATCATATAGTCGTCACATCCTCAGAAGTTGCCAGCAAGGTTATGAAGACCCATGACATCAACTTTGCTTCACGGCCAGAGTTCCTTGCCACCAAAATGATCTTTTATGATGGCAGCGGCATCGGCTTTTCTCCTTACGGTAAATATTGGTCACAGCTACGCAAGATATGCACAGTTGAAGTACTCAGCGCCAAGCGCGTCCAGTCTTTCAGTTTTCTAAGGAAGGAAGAAGGAGATAACATTGTGAATAAGATCCGCATGGCGAGGGGATCGCCTGTGAACCTTTCAGAGATGTTTTTATTTTTGACGAGAACGACCATTTCTAGGGCGGTGTTCGGGAGGGACATTGCTCATAAAAAAAATTTTCTAAATGCGATGAGAGACGCCTCCAGGCACTTGTCGGGATTTGATATTGTAGATCTTTTCCCATCTTTGAAGTCTTTGAAGTTCATTAGCAAATTGTTCATTAGCAAATTTACTCCTTCGAGGGCTCGGTTGGAGAGAGTGCGTCAGATTTTGGATGAGATTTTGGACGAGATTTTTGAGGAGCATCAAGCCAGGAACTTCACGAGACATGACTGCGTCGAGGATATAGTTGATGTTCTGTTCAGACTTCAGAATCAAGGGGAGTTGGATATTCCTCTCACCACGGACAATATCAAAGCTGTGCTATTGGTAAGTACTAATTATTTTCAGCCAACAACTTCCCTAAAACTGTCAATTAAGAGAAAATATTATCGGACATCCGTATTCTAAACTCTAATTAAATTTCACTGATTTTAAATATACAAAATATTATTTATCTTAAAAGTGGAGAAGTCTGAAGCATGACCCGAACATGTTGTACACCATAATTGAACTTGAGATTTTTCTTCAGTACAACTATGTTGTACCGTACAACTATGTTGTACCGTACAACTATGTTGGACTAAATAAAAAAGCATATAAATAAATAATTCAATGTGAAAGCTATAGTGTACAACATGATTGTACTCTAGAAAACCTCAAGTATAACCATGTTGTATACGATAATCAATACAAGTCGAGTTTTCCAATCCGGTCATGACTTACAACTTGATTGTACTGGATATTTTTCTTCAGTACAACCATATTATACTAAATAAACAAACAACCAAATGAATAAATCAATGTGAAAGTCATAATGTACAAGATAGTTGCCTTCAAGAAGCCATCTAGTACAATCATGTTATACATCATGAATGGGTCGAGCCTCAGACTGCTCTATTTTTTAGACCAAAATAAAATTTTATATATTTTATGCGTGTAGAGTCCGGATATAACTCAACCTCTAGACTTTAGACTAGAGAGTAAAGATTGTCTCCCGTCATGACTCGACTCATGGGAAGAATTTAGCATCGTCGGCTATCTCATAGAGCCCCAAAAACGTTTCTTTCCGTGCCAAGAACTTGATATCATATAACAACACATATAATCCCCAAAAGATCACATTGTCAAGGAGTAATAGCATAGCCTTACCCTGTCGATAGAAGCTCTTTATCCAAGGATCAATAGTAGGCAACCAGACTACTAAAACCAACCTACATAATCAAGCCGACATTAGAACAACATACACATTATACGATAAACATTTAGTCACTCGACATTAGAACAACATACACATTATACGATAAATAAAATTTTGACTTAAGTTTTTGGAAAGAAGAGCAATATTAGTTTCATTTTTATAATTCTCTTATTCTTTTCACAGTTATCTTCCAAAGAGATAAAAACTAGGGAAATTAAAAAATGTAAATTAGATATGCATTTGCACAAACCTTGAGAAAATCCAATAAACAAAAAGTATAGAGGAGTATAGTTAAGGAAAATCCACAGATAAAGGACCAAGGCACATTCATGACGGATCAAGAGTTCACGGAGAACAAATGTCAGCATTTGAAGGCTAAGTGTTCACTAGTGGAATGCTGAAAGACTTGCTTGGCCAAGTGTAACCTGCTAAGCCTCTGTTAAAGGCCAAGCCAAAGGCTAATACCTTCCTCCTATCATGAACTAACGCAATGGAAAAATTTAAAATCTCAGCTATCTCATGTGTGCTTTTGAGATCTCTCATCCGGGCCAAGTATTAGTCACCATATAACTACAAGGAGCATCCTAAAAGGACTACCTTATTGAAAAGTATGCTACCTGTCAGATTACGTTGATTCACACTTAGTCTGATAACCTAGCCTTGCTCTTATGATAGAAGTTTCTTATCTAGGGATCAATAGTTGGCAATGAGACTAGCATAGCCGACCGACATAATCAAGCCAGCCGAGTCAAGTCTCACGAACCTAAAGACCACATGGGACCAAACAACAAACCTAATTCAATGTAGGCGAATGAGCAAGTCTTATCAAACTAGGACTAATTAACGTCATCCAATCGAGTCATACGGCCGCTGTATATATATATTAAAAAGCTATAAAAAATGATAAATACTTAATTGGGTAGGAAGGGTTTTGTATAAGCAAATAATGATAAGGGAAAAGCAAAAGACATGGGCATGAGTGAGATAGAATTAACCATTCAAGGAGAATAAGGGTATGTTTGAGGCGGTGATAAGGTGCAGCACTATTGTTTTTTTCTATTTGGCAAAATTGTGTTTTGCCTGCTTTTTCAAAAAATGTGTAGCTGAAAATTATGTTCTCCCACCAGACTCATCTAAGTGTGGTGACTGCTAAAAAATAACGGGCTTACTTTATAAAAAAAAACAATAATAATAGAATAGTCAGTGCAGCTTTTTGTCAGTAAATTATTTAGTATTAGCTTCATAGTTGCTTCTTCAAACAGTTGTAGCCGCCCCAAAACAGACCCTAAATGAGTCGAGGTTGTTCACTGCTAAGTGAATCTTATTCTTTTGAATGGCAAAAAATATTGAGAATATGTTATTGCATAATTAATATGGATTTTTAATTAATTATTAAATATTATATATTTATATAATGATAAGTTAACCAGTGTTAAAAATGTGATGGATTGAATATCATAATGAATTCTTACGTACTAGTTAATTATTGGGTTATTTAATAATCAAATATTAATATAATTTTATATAATTAATAAATAGTCATAAGTATTATTGATTTCAAATTAATACACACACACATATCATACTAATTTGTCGTAGTTTTTTATTAATCAAATTTATTCAAATGATATGTTACATATGATATGAACTATTATTGAGTTTAATATTAGTATTAAATATTTTACATGTTGAACAATGAGAGTTTATTTATAAATATAAATAAACAAGTTGAATAATGCTTAAATTTGTTTGAGCTTAATATCAAAATGAAATAAATTACTTGTTAAACAATATGAATTTATTCATGAAGATAAATAGACAAGTTGAATCATGTTTATACTTGGTTCATTTAAACTTTTGAGTTCTTAAAAGTTGTTCAAACTTATTTATTTACTAATTTTGCCAAACTTGATGAAGTATTGTCAAGCTGAGTATGAACTTGAGTGCATTGGTTCATTTGCAAGTCTTAGCATAGGATAGCAAGGCTCACACTATTGTAAACTTAACATCAAAGATTTATTAAAATGTATATATTTTTGTAGATAACACATAACAAAAATGAAAATCTTAATGGTTCAACAAAATAAGTGAGAGTAGATGTTCAATTCATAAAAATAGAAGAAATACAAGTACAATGTGAATCAAATGCTAATTACCTGAAATTATAATTAAAGCTCATTTTATATAAGAAAGTAGTCGATGATTAAAAAAAATGAATGATGGCCCATGTTGCAATAAAGTAGGAAACATTCACAAACAACGAGAACAAAAACATTTAATAAAAGAGTCCAAAATAAAATTTAAAATGATGAATAAAACTACTATGATTTTACATGACCAAAATAGGCTTATAATCATGTCATAGAATTTTCACTAACTAAGAATGTTTCTTTTCTCTGAGGGTTAGTAATGTTTCATCTCTTGTCTCAACATTTTATAAGCAACATGAAACTTTACTTCAATAATAATTTCAATCCTAGAGGAAATTTCAATCTTATAAGAGAGAGATGGAGAGAGAGAGAGAGAGGGTTGAAAATAATTTAACTTTTTTTCTTAAATTTAAATCAAATAAGTTTGGTAAGAGATAATTTGTAGTTGTAACATTCTACTTTTTTTTCAATTGAGATAGATCTTGCTTTTAAGAACAACATTAGAGAAGGCTCAAAGAAAATATAATTTCTCTTATGATGGTAACTACTTATAAGCCACAACTATAAGGGCATACAAAGCATATAAATGTATGACTCTTAGGAACTTGTATTAAAATTTTACAAGTGTTAGAAACCATGATGCTCGCAACCAATATCATATCCTAAATTTTCAACCCCTTCAATATTAGTCATAAAACATAATATATAAGGCTTAATGGAACAACCTTTATTATCATATGATGTGAATTGCCAATAGAGATAAAATCGTAAATCTTTCATTCTTAGATATGGATATCAAGAATCAATACTCAAAATCCTAAAGAAATTTATCATGACCTAAAGAGATTGATAGCCTTTTTATAAAATTGTATTATTTTAGGTTCTTGATTGCAAAGGAATTAGGACGTTCTAATGTCCATTTTGAATAATTTAAATATTTAATTATTGATGGATTGATTAAGGAGAGTATGGTAGCCCATCCCTAAAACATATTGCAAAAAGAATCCTTGAAAAAGGACGATAAAAAGATAAATAAAGGATTCAACATCAATAAATAAATATAATCACGTTTTATTTTGATGGATATATGTCTCCGTTTCTTTGTAAAATAAGATGTTAAACCAACATTATTATCTCAGATGGACATCAAGGCACTAAAATAGCTACTAGAGTGGGGGATTTATTATACCTCTTTTAGTTTTCTACTTTGAATAAGACTGAAGATAGAACAAACACATTTGCTGCCAAGAATAAGATTGATTAATATTAAAAATTACTCAAATTGTCTTAAGCTTTACACCCATCTTATTAAAAAGCTAAGAAATTAGAGAACTAAGATATCTTTTTCATAATACATGTAAAATAGACATAATTTTTTTAAATAAAAGAGAAATAACAATTTAATAAGAGCTAATAAGTTGGAATTTATTTTTGAAAGAGAGAATAATGCTTTAATTTTTTAACCTATAAGTCACTCATGTAGCTTAGCAAATAAGGGGATCCAATCATTCGAATGACTTTAGCCTATACTCAAATGAATATCCGAATAATTTATATTTATTTATGTGAATTGACATTCAATCCTATAAACACCACCAATAAGAAAAGATTAATTTTCAAACAGTAAAATATCTCATTAGTAATATTGCCAATTGCCAATATGTAATCCACACATAAGAGATGTGTGATGAAAATTTGCTCATTATGGATAAGTGGGTAACAACCGCTAAATATCTTATGGTATCGAAAAAAAGGGAAGAAATATGTGGCTTTAATAAAAACAGGTGATGATAGAAAGAACACTTCTCTTAAGCTATTAAATACTAAAATAAATCATTTATTTCCTTATTGAATAAAAAAAGACAACCCAATGATTCTTGCTAAAAGCTAATTGACAAAAGAAGATACCCTTGTGCCTCAATTTTATGCAAAATAGAGCTCATATAAGTATTCACATTATTAAAAGCTTTGTAGACACTAATCTTAACATAATTTACATTTCTATAGTAATTAGTATTAAAATCATAAGGAAAAAAAGTTGCTACTTTTTTTTTTTTTTTTTTGATGGGCTAGATGAATAACGAACAACGATTTTTTCCTTCAATATGCTAGAGAAAAAAAGTGTTGAATGGTGAAATTGTTCATCTATAATCAACTAAGGATTTGGCATATTTTTTTCTATGGAATCAATGCAATGGAGGTAATCTTTGATGATATCAGATAATTTTACTCAAAGAAGTGATGAATTATAAGAAGTCCTAAATTCTTATAATATTTTCAGAATAAATAAAAAGTTTCTTGATGTTTGTTCATTATTTTTTAATTAATGTTTGTTAACCAAAACATTTGGGTCACGAAATGAATCGTCCGGGCATGATGAAATTGATGAGATTTTAAAAGCTACATCATGCAATCGATCATGAAAGTATTTCGAGCGCCGCCAAAGCATCGAAATAACTGCCATTTCGTGAAGAAAATCTTACGAGCGAGTCTCGACCATTGAGATGATTCAAACGAGCCAACTCGCATGGGGTTTGAATTTCTTAAAATTAATATATGTTCATATATTTGTATATTAACATGTACATGTAGAGAGAGAGAGAAAGAGAGAGAGAGAGAGAGAGGAGAGAGAGAGAGAGAGAGATATATAGATATATATATATATATATATATATACATGCATGCGGACTTCATTACAACATTATTGTAAATACAACAAATACAACAATGTTGTACTGAAATCGTTTACATATGTTATCCACACCTAATTATTCCTCCTCTTTTGGACCCCAAAAAATCACTCTAACGAGCTCAAACACTTTTAGGGCGGTTATTGATCTGATTTCAAGCTGAAATAAAGTTGATTTGAAACTGACTCAAATAAATTTAGTGAGGCTCGAAATTGACTCGTGGCTCGTTGTACTGTTTTGGAGCCTCAAGGGAGGTTATGAGGGAGTTGATGATTAGGAGACAGTTTTTAGGATCTGGAAAATGTAGCTATTTTTTTCTAAAATGTTTAGTATTATCAACACATACGAGATTCATTTAATCAATGACAAGGAAAAATATACTAATGATAATCAGAAGACTTTTGACAAAGACAAAAAAAAAAAGACTTGATTTTATCTTACACAATAATAACTCATTTTTCAGAAATAAAAATTTGAGGTAATCAAATGGGCAAATGTCTGATGGTAATTTTAAGCATGTCATTTTTTATCTAATAAAATTCACATTATTTATTAGAAATGATAATTTGAGGCAATCAAACGAGTAAATACCCCGTAGGTCAAATCTCTCAAATTCAAAACAAATATCAGTAAAAAACTAGAGTAACATAGTCTACACACACAGACACATAATTATTTCTGATTTCCCTTCTTTTACCTTTGGATTTCTTAGCTCTTCATTATGGTATGAAACCCAATATTCTCATATTTCTTAACGGTTATTAGATATAATAAAAAGTTACAATTTTATTTATAATGCTGTTTTGCTAGGATTTATTTTTACCCGGAACTATCACCTCATCTGCTACATTGGAATGGGCCATGTCTGAGCTCATTAAAAACCCTAACATCTTAAAAAAGGTTCAATTAGAGGTGAGAAATGCCTTCACTGGAAAAGAAATTATGGAGGAGAAAGACATTAGCAAGCTTCCCTATTTGAATATGGTGATTAAAGAAACAGCTAGACTACATCCCGCGGGACCGTTATTACTTCCTAGAGTTTGTCGCAACACAGTAGAATTGGACGGATACACAATACCTGCTGGAAGTCGGATTATGATCAATGCGTGGGCAATCATGAGGGAGCCAAAATGTTGGGTTGATTCAGAAACCTTCCGACCTGAGAGATTTGAAGAGGCTACATTTGATTTCAAAGGGTCTAACTTTGAGTATATTCCCTTTGGTGGAGGAATGAGGAGTTGTCCAGGCGTAACATTTGCAATAGCTGGCATAGAGTATTGGCTTGCACAATTACTCTTTCACTTTGATTGGGAGCTCCCTGGAGGAATGAGTCCCGAGGAATTGGATATGGAAGAAGTTTTTGGTTTGACGATATCTAGAAAAAATGATTTGCTTGTAGTTGCCACTCCATATAAGTAATTTTTCTTTTCCATTACAAAATAATACCAGATGTTCTTCTAATATATAAACGATGTTGTAAAATGCCTACTAAATGTGTCTGGAGACATTTTATGCAAAGTGTACTTTAATGTTTTCGTGAAGACTCTTGTAGTTCATTTTCTTATTAAGACATTGTTGCATTTTGGCGAGTTGGACTTTCTTTTTGGAGGAAGGTTTCAGAAAAGACTATATTCTATTAATTACTTCTTCTGTGACTTACAGAAAACAAGCAATACAAAAATATATAAACTAATTGGACAATATTTGCTGCATTTTTTCCTAATAAAATAGCGAAACCTTCATAAAAAATTGTCTATATATATAATATATATATATATATATGTTTACTGATTTATGTATTATAATTTTAGATATGTTAAAATATAAATAATATTTTATATTTAAGAAAATTAAAAAAATTCTTATCAATTTTGATAAATTTATAGATTTATTGGGGTACTTCCACATAAACATAATTTTGATTTCCAAACAACTACCACATTCCACTTCGACCATAATTTTTTTAATATTTTATTGTTTTTATAATTGAAAAATATTTAATATAACCAGTTTTCTTTAGAAAATAGTAGCTATTATAAGACTAGATGCCATTTTTTAAAAAAGAATGGACGTCTTTACTACATACACCACTTTCAAGATATTAACCTTGTGTACAGAAATTCTATAACATATTTTAGCCCCAATTAAAACCTTTTCAATTTCGTAATCAAAATTGCAATCTTATTATGATGAAATTAGAAGCACAATGATACAGCCACATGAAAAGATCTATGACCCATTGCTGGAGAAAATTATTTTCCAACTGATTTTAAAGCCACATATATTATGATTTGTTAATCAATATTAAAAATAATTATTTTTCATAATTTTTATCTTTTAGCAAGAAACCTGAGGCATTTTTTGATAAAATTCAACTCAAATTAAATTCATATAAAGCCTTGATTTCAACAAGCTTATTGTCAAACTAATGGTCTTGACAAGATGGAGCTAATGACATCAAATTTGGTCCAATCCGAGTCCAATCAAGCCTTAATTAAGCCATTGAACCATAATTGGGGGCTTCAAGTAATTAATTGGATGTTCAAATAAACCCCAAATTTCACATGCTTTTAATTAAATCGAGCTTCTCGATGATAGAAATCCAACAAGCTTATGATCAATCGATTCCAAGGTCATTATAGCATTCAAATTATTAAAAAATCACGTATGATCAAGAAGAATCAATGTGGGTTGTTTGATCAGTTGGTTATGTGATTTTTAGTCGAAGAACAAAAATGCCCCTCCATTGAAGCCTATAAATGGATCTCATCTCTTCACTTGAGCCAAAGGATTCAAATTTCAGAATTGTTCTGAACTAAAGACCCAATGATAAACTTCTGACCCATTTAGCTACCGATCATTGTCGATCACCACCCACCAACCGCTACCAGCTTCCCCTAATCGACGACATCGGTAAACCTTGTTGTGTAATTAAGTATCCCAAACGTGGTGTAATAAAGTACCTCAAACACAGTGTAATGAAGTGCCCCAAAAATAGTGTAAAGAAGTGTTGATACCGATTCTAGGTGCACTCACGCTCTGAGATTTCACGAAGTGTAAGTTTCATATCAGTAATATCAGATGTTTTAGTCTGGAATGTCGATCCCACAGGAAATGAGGGAATTAGACTTAGGGAAAAGTTCTAGCCTGCTAGTTTTTGTTCTTAGCCTCGAAATTGAGATTAGGTTAAAGTTCTACAAATTACTCCTACTAAATTGAAAACTAATTTAAATGTTAAATCTTATAGAAATCCTACTTAACCTTTTTGGATTGATGAATATCAAGTTATAAAGTTACCATCCCTTGTAATGATTTGAGTGGAGCATAGGAAATGTAAAGTGTTAATTGTAATTTGGCTAGAGACAAATAGGAGTAACTCTCTTCTTTACCCTCTCTCGTGTGCATAAAGAATAATTGTTAAACGACTTTAATTCCATGAATTCCATTTTGAACCCATCAAAGTCTATTTCCCTAACATTTCCATCTCCCTACAAAGTACTTGCACCATACTTTATAGTTCAATGTGATTAACCTAGTTCATTCTACCATAGCTCTATTGAGTCATTATGAATCACAACTCATTTTAACAATTCAATTGGCTATAATGAAAATTAAATGAAGTTCTGAAGGCTAATCATCACATTAAATATTTAAAAATATTATTAAAAATATTTTACAATCTTATACATCCTACTCAAATATCATAAGGTAAGGAAAAAAGTACTACTCATAAAGCATGAAGAACATACCACAAAGCTTCATTGAAAACATGAGAATTCCACTAAATAATTGTGTACAAAAAAATACAATAAGTCAAATACACAACACTTACCTTTCTCTCATTTACTAAGCTCTAAGAAATGCTCACCAATGCTCTCTTGACTCCTTTCTACTGTCTTGAAGACTCCCCTCACTTTACAACTCAAATCCTCTCCAAATACCTCACATAAACCTATCTCCTTCAATCATTCAACAAGACCTTCATCCCTATCACCTCTCTCTCCAAATAGGCTGTCAAGCATAGCATAAGAACCTCCCTTTATTGTCTTAATAACTCCCCATGTCATCTACTCGAACTGCCCAAAACATCTTATGTAGTTGCTGGTGCCTAGGTGCCTGTCTCTCTATTTGCAGATCAAGGCTTGGGCACCTTGGTGCCCATGGGTCTAGTGTCTAGGCACCACTATTGCAGTACCTAAGAGCCAACCTCTCAGGTTGTCAGGCTGAGATTGGCACCTGACGCTTAGGTGTCTATCACCTGTAAACTCCTTTGCTCCAAGTCTCATCCACATTGCTTCAAGTCACCTCCACATTCCTCCACATCCAACACATGTTATACCTACAAGAAAAACAAAAAAATTACCTTTCTTTAAATTGCAATTTTATCCATAGAAAGGTGTAAAACATAAAGGAATTTAAGTGTTCTTTTCTATACATCAAAATCCCCTAAACTTAGAGTTTACTTGCTCTCAGGTAACACTATAATTTTAACACCAAATTAACTAATTTTAGGGAGTGGGTTTCATAAGACCTCAACAATTTTGCTTCAAAAAATTCATGGTGATGAAAATAAAATAACTTCTGTAAACTAGTCTACTCCTTTGGTATAAGGAGCTTTGCATCTAACCAAGAAAATCTAATTTTGTTTTCTTACTTTCCAAAAGACATTATCATAAGTTAAATAAGGTACATTAGATGATAAGTATATAGAATATAAGCACTCCTTTAAAAATGTTTTCTAACACTTCATAAACATAAGTAATCTTAGTAATGTATTGAAGCTTCAAATTTAAGAAGAATCTAGTGAAACCAATTTTTGATAAGGCTTCACTTCGAACTTCTCTTCACTTTATATTTTTCTTTTATATTTTTTCTTTCTTTAAGATGAATGTTTTCATCCTTAAACATACTTTATGAGGATTACTCTCCAGATCAGCCTTGTAATAGTTTAGAATTCCACTATCATATCGTTAAATCAAACACTCTACATTTCTTTTCCTTTTAATTTTTCAAAAGGTTAGGAAGTATAAATTGAAAATATAATTTTATGGATGCTCAATTCTTGTTAAGTATATATTTAGTTGTGCCTAATTTAATAGTTATGTAATACTTTCTAAAAGTAAATAATCAAATCATTTTTGTGCATGCTGAATTGTAAAATTAGCTCAACACTAGATTAGCCTAGTTTACTTAGTGTTTAACATGTGTAAACTATGTTTTTCTTTATTCAAAATTGAAATAGATCTAAATTTCATGCCAAAACTTTTAAATTGATTAAAAATGGTAATTCAAATTAATTTTACTTAGGACAAGTAAGTTTAAGCTTTAAAAATTTTTCTCTCCCCCTCAAACTTAATCTTTAAACATATTCAACAATGTGAAACATGAATATAAATGGGGAGTAAATATATATTTTCTATCACATGTGTCTTTTACCAAGATCAATAATTATAAATATGAATAAACACATATGAAATAGCAAGTAATTCTAAATTAAACAAAATACTGAATAAAATTACACCATAAAGTCTAAATAGTATAACAAGAATAGAAAGAGTCCACAACACAATACAAACTGATCTAATAGAAATACATCAGTACAGTAGTAGGGTTAAAAATATCTTCCACACAGTAGCATAGCAGGAAATAAAAAATAATATCCAGTAAAGTAGCCGTAGCTGAAAATAAAAAAAAAAGATCCAATACAGTAGCAAAAGCAGATAATATAAATAACATCAAATATATCTACATGAAAGAAATAAAAACACTCCTCAGTTTTCATCATCATCGTCTTCTTCTTCTTTATCTCCCTCTTTTTCTTCATTTTCCTCCTCATCTTCATCATCCTCCTTAGAATCCTTCATTGGGTTACTATACTTGCAAGGCCAGTAAGGAGGGTATATAGGAAACTCCACTAAGTTACCCCCTCTAATTCACTATTTTTTCCAATACATCTCCAACTGAGCATCCTGAAAAACTAGAAAAGTGATCGTATTAGTATTTATGTTATCAATCCATGTGTGACATCTGATCTACTAGGTTGTATACCATCACATGAATAAAAAATAAATAATCCTCCACTTTGTCCGATCTTTCTAACATAGAAGCCAAACTAATGGAAGAAAGAGCTTGAGAATAGGAAGTAGATGGTTGAGAAGAAGAAGGTTGAGAAGAGCTGGCCCCATGCAAAATAATGGCATGCTTACTATATAAGTTCAAGTTAGTTTTGGAAATAGGCATTAAAGGATGAAGCTGCTCCTCCCAACTCCCAAAAGTAACACATGAATTTTATTAAAGGGCAAAAATAGTGGAGAAATGTCTTAACCCTAGAGTGGATCCTTCCTTCATAGTATTTAAGATTTAGTAATAGATGAGAGCACCAATATCAACAGTTTTTATAGTCTGAATGAAAAAATTGAGAGAGACACTTTCTATGGTAACTTAAATCAAATTAATGGAGGGAAGAATCATGATAGAAATAAAGTAGTGCTAAGCCTTAGAAGGTGCACAACAAAGGAAAATTCACCT